TGTAGCATGATACCAGCCGGTATTTCTTTCCGCCCGTCTCCCAGCTTACTGATGTAGTGTCGTTATTACTGTAACTGTGTAATAAAAAGACATTATGCCTTTTACTAGCCAATATACATGTCCTAGTCTTACCTACGCAGCCAGCCACGTATAAATTATACCCCGGTGTCCTCAGACCGCAAATACGCTTTCCATTAACCCATGGCTCCTGAATGAGGACAAAGTCAGGTCGTTCTTTTGCCATGCGGTTAACTAGGGCAAGAGACGCTAGTTTGCTGTGATGTTGATTAATTTGGAGAAGACGCATTAGTTATTGTCTTCTCTGCGTCTTCTTGAGAATCGCTTAAAAGCTCACTCTTGCTCTTCCTCGACTTCGCATTCCGATTACTATGCCAAGTTTTCTCCTGCATCGGCGTCTGACTTGTAGGTCATAACCTTCACTTTTGTGAAACCGTAGTTGATCTCTCCGCCACTTTTCGCTAGCGGTTCTACGGATTCCTTTGTTAGGAGCGACAAAATCTGCATTGTGGTTTGTTTCGGCTCCACACCAGATTCCGCTGCGGGGTCATCGAAGGCCTTGACGAATCTCCATCCCCCAGTTGGCAAATTCGGGTTACAGGCTCTTACGAGCTGCATTATCTGGTCCGGCGGCGATGGTGTAGCCGGGATGCATACCCTTGCCCTCGGTCGGGGTGGGATATCTTTTTTGTCTACAGCTACTAGTCTGGCTGCGGGGTAGACCTCCCCAACCATAGCTATTGGGGTGGACCTGAATAGTTTAGTAGCACTTCCAACGCCACATTCGTCCAGCACCCCAATGACAATGCCGACGTTTCCAGCTTGAAGTAAGTTAAGACCGTTCTCGCGCAATCAATGGATTCCTGGAGCTCTTTTGTGAGCTCCTCATTGGTTGGCGGTTCCAGCTCCCCTTTCCTCAGCAGGTATGCAGCGCCTCACTTCTCTGCATACCTTCCCTTCGCTGGGTCGTCAATCTTAAAGGTGGGCCATTCTATGGCTGACCCACTACTGGCAGCATCACTTTTGGTATCTCCCTCCTTCCCCTGCTTAGCAGCCAAGCCTTGGCTTCAGGGGACTATTTAGTAACTAGCTCATATTTTGCACCCACGAGTGTAGGGGAAAGTATGCCCGCTTGCACATAGCCTCTGCTACGCAAGTGAGGCTATCTTATTACTGAGGGCGCTAGGTATTCGTAAGCACTGAGCGAAACTGGACTATTTAAGGGCCCCCAGCCAGGTTGATCATCGCCACGGGTCGCATGACACCTTGATCCAGCCCTTTACATACCTTCTACCATAGTAAAATCTCCTATCTGGATGCTGTACTATTGAAGTGTAACGAACACCCAGATAGGAAGTCTTACCTTTGCTATATACCTCACTACTACAACAGGTGCGAATTGCTGCCAGCTCGTCCTTGCCTACGTCGTGAAACTGTGTTATCTATTCCCAATCGGCACCCTGGAGGGTTCAGCGGAGGATTTTTGCAAACCATAAAACGGCCAGCAAACCTGACTTTTAACTATTTTGCGACGGTACAAATTGGAGAATTTTAAGGATTTTTACTGGGTTGAATAATTTGGTTATCTAACAATTTGTCTATGTCTTTGTTTATAAATTCGTTGTCTGCTATCGAATACGGATACTGCTTTACCCAAATAGGATCTTCTGATTCTGTCCTAATTGTAGCTTGTTTTGTAGTCCTAAACGGAAGGATTTCGTTAGTTTCGTCATTTATTCTCATGATATTTTCAATTTCGGTTTTATTCATGTCGTTAATATTTGTGAAGTTCACTCTTTTTGATTACTAATTACTTGCTTTTTATATTTACCTATATGAGAGTTTATACTCAACAATATTAATTTCCGCTTTCAAGACCATGTTCATCCAGAAGCACCTAAAGCTTCGGTTTCAAAAAATACTAAACTATGATTGAGTAATGTAATAATTTTCTTAGCTTTGGTCAAATAGTATCCATGAAGCGTTTTAACTTTAACCGGTTTTATGGGTATAGATTCTCCTATTTTACACTTAGATATACCCATTGAGCCAGATATGGACCTCATCGCCCAACAAAATTTGACTCGAAAACGTCGGATCTTCTTTGAACTTTTTAAGAGTCCATAGAGCGAAGCGATGTAGCTTGGGAAGGTCGAGCGGCTTCAGTTCTTGCACCAGTTGTATTTTGTACGCATTCAATTTAAGATATCGACGTAAAATGCGCCAAGTCATTCCATACGACAGTCCGAATTTTTGCGAACGGCCTCGAATCGACTCTCCACGGTATTCGTGTACACCCTCAGCTACGGCCGCTACCGTCTTTGGAGACACGTTAATTCGTTTATTCTCCAAAAAAAGGGTTTCCTGTCTAATAGATATCATCAGTATTGGGGCGAGTGATTGTAGGTCTTCGTCTCTCGTCTGGTTTACTCTGTTGCTGTTGTAATTTCTTGAAGCAGGAATTCTTCCGCGTTTTGCTGCTTGTTGCTCTTCTCTTAGCGGTTTATAGAATCGTTGAGATTGCTGGAAGTTGTTCCTTGGGAGAGGATGATTGTTCTATTGTGTTGGTCGTGCATGTTGACGAGAGTCATCTACTTCCATTGGTTTTTAGCGTGCTCATAAAGGAAACTATGTCATCGATCTTGCTCTGGAGTCCGTTGCAGTTGAATTGTAAGAGTCGGGTTTGATTACCAATCTTGTACCGTTGCAGAATTGAGGTGAATTGAAATTACTCTGAATAATAATAGTTGAACTATTTTCAACCGCAGATTATGTGATGTCATTTTGAGTATATCTAGATAATTTATATTATATTTTCACGCAACAGCAGCATTTAAAATTCATCTGATAGGAAGGTATCAACTTTTACATTTTTGGCCGCTAATGTAGCCCGATTACTGAGCCAGTTATGATCCAAACAATTAATTTTTACTTTGAGGAATATACTCTCAATTAATCAAGTTTTTTTCGTGATCCACTGCGTATTTGGTTGCAATTCTGTTCTACCATTCCCAATATCTATAAATTGTATTATTTCTGAGGGTTTCAGTTTGAAGTTGTTCGCAAATATTTATGGTCAAGTGTTTCAATATTTCAACAAAAGAACGATTGCTTTAACATTCGTTAATCTCATTGGCATAAAAAATGCGAAAGATGAAGAGGCTGTCGGAAATAACTAGACTTACCAGTGTCTGCAGCACCACCGAAAAGTCCATAGTTGCCGTTTAAATATTGCATTGTTCTGAGTAATGCTTTGAAAATAGTTGTGTGCCATTATGTACTCTTAGATGTTGCGCTTGGGTTGTTATGAATGCGAATGAAATAAGAATAAATTAATTTTAATACTAGCAGACCCGGCCACGCGGTGCTGTGGATGAGTGATTTAAGAAGCATTCGAAAGACAAAATTTAATACGAATTAACATAACATTTATTTAATAAATACTTTAAACATTTTTATTTAATATATATTATGTATACTCCAAATATCCTCAATTGTAATAAATCACAATTGCAGAAGCGCCAATCAATGTACAATATTTTTGGTCAATCCATAAACTTGATGAACTTCCTACTCGTGAAAAGGCCACGTATAATTGCCCATGAGAGAAATATGGATTTTCCAAGTCTAAACCGCAAATAGACATTGTTTGTCCTTGAGATTTATTTATAGTCATCGCGAAAGCTAACGAATGGAGAACGGTAATATAATATTTTAAATGGCATCGGAATACGTGGTAACAAAAAGATTTCTCCTTTAAACTTTCTTGTCAAAATAGTTGTTTCAAGAACGATTCCATAAATTTTTTGATCACCAAACGTGTACCGTTGCATAGTTTAGAAGGGCTTATATTACGCAGTAGAATAATCGGTGATCCAATTTTCAATCGAAGATTGTGCGGTAGCATTCCTGATGTCTAAAGAATTTAAAAATTCGATCGTGAAATTCACTGCCTCTAGACAGTTTTCTACAGTAGCATCGAATAACAATCAATCACTTGGTAATAATTGGTATACTAGTAGTTAATCAAATCAACATCAACATTTTTCGCTGCCAAAATCAGTGCCGGTTTTAGTACTACCAGCGCCCTGGGCGAGATTTCTACGGCGCCCCCTAACTGCAATTTAAACCCATACGAAAAAAGGCGAAGGATAATAATGAAATAACCATTTATGAAAAGAAATAAACATTTATTAAAAAAACTAATAAAATTTTACTTTTCTAGCCTTTCTATCGGCGAACTCTTTTATTAAGTTATCGAAGTCGATGTTTTCAGCAATTTCATTCTCGATTGACATAGTTGCCAAGGTTGTCAATCTAGATTGAGATATTGTCGATCGCAGATAGGTTTTTATCAGCTTAAGCTTAGAAAAACTCCTCTCTCCACTAGCAACCGTTACGGGAATAGTTAATAATATTCGTAATGCTATCCAAACATTTGGATATAGTTCTTGTAAGTTGCGGTCTTTGATAAAATTTAAAACAAAAACAGCAGTAACCACTTTCTGATCAGGCAAAAACGATTTCAGACTTACGAGTTCATCGCACAACATACATCCATCTATATCTGATTTGGAATTTACATTTAATTTCAATTGAAGATCACTACAGAGTTTGATAAGGTCATGTTTTTCTGGAATCTGTTTTAAATTGTACAAAAAAGACCAAGATTCCGAGTACTCACATAACTGTTCAAATCTTTCGTTGCGTGAAGTTAACGTCGTGTCCAAAAGACAGTTGAAAAATTCAACCTCAAATTTTTTTTCTGGAGAAGTTATAGGCTCATCTTGGGCAGTTTGTGCATTTACCGAGATCCATGTCTGTTGATTGTAGAGATTTACTAACGACATTAATTTGAAAAAGTATGTCATACCAGACAACCAATGAAACTATAAAGCCGAAATCTTTAAGCTGTTCGGCTAGAGTAGTAGCCTCATGAGAGACTTGAACATCAGTTTGCTGAGTTTCAATAGCCAAAGTGATTAAAGCGTCATGGACGGCGCTAATTTGATAACGGACTGCTTTAACACTGCCTATTCTTGCTTCCCAACGCGTGTCACTGAGTTTTTTTTATAGTGTACAATCCCAAGTGATCGGTCAGAATTTTCCATCGATGAACAGAAGCTGAAAACAACGTAAACAACCTCTGAAGTACTCCAAACAAAGTGACAGATCTTACAGATGACTTAGCGGCATCGCATAGTAAGAGATTGTAGCTATGACAGCCACACGGTACATATACAGCTAAAGGATTTATGTCCAGAATTCTCCTTTGAACTTCAATATTTTTTCCTTTCATGTTTGCTCCGTTGTCATAGCCCTGACCTCTACAATCGTTCAATTCCAGTCCGTATTTATTTAAAATATCAATAATAACTTCAGTCAGCCTTTCACCAGTCGACTCATTAACAGATAAAAATTCTATGAAATGCTCTTTTACTGATATTTTATCGACATCTGATGATAAATCAACAAATCGTATTGTCAGTGAAAGCTGTTCTATATGACTAATGTCCGGAGTACAGTCAGCTATAATAGAATAATATTTCGATTTCTTTGCACGTGATATGATTTCTGACTTCACTTTTTCAACCATCAGCTCTATTAATTCATTTTGAATGTCTTTTCCGCAGTAGTGGTCAGAAACATCACCCTTTACAGCTAATCGCAAGTGCTCCTCCATAACTGGATCAAATTTGGCTAGTAGTTGTACTAAACCCAAGAACTTTCCATTATTTGGCGTATATAGTTTGTCGGAAGTACCTCTAAACGCCATATTGTTTTCAGCTAAATACAGTGTTATAATATTAATCTAGACAAAATATTATTCCACCTTGTAGTTTCCTTTCTAATCAAATGTTGCTCTTGACAATCTATTGTTTTTCCCGTTTTTAATCTTAGTTCAGCCTCAATCCATGAGAGGTAAAACTTCTTTTGAAAAGTGCTACTTTCATGAACTTTTAACATTTCTGGTAAGTGTTTTCAGTCGTTATATCCTTCAGATGCTGAATTCGACGTTGAGCTGCTATCAAATAGCCGGCAACAAAAACAGTAAACTCAATTTTTAGAAACTGAGTATATTAACCAACGACGCTGAATTATTTCATTGTTTGCAAGTTTTTTGGTAAAATGAGAATTTGAGAAATGTCGCCCTGTATCATTCTTTGGATAATTATCAATGTGAGTTTGCACTGGGCCATTAGTTATTATATGATCAATAATTTTGCTATTTCGAGTGAGTGGCCAAGTGGCTGGATCCGATATATTTGGAACAAGAGAACTAACGTCATCTAGAATTTATATTTGTTGTACATCACCAATAGTGTCATCCTGAGCAGAATCTGTAATTGTAACTGATCTGACTTGTCAGACAGAGACTCCACTACCGATGCATTCGCTTGTATTTCAGATGTAGATGCCACATTAAGGTCTTGATTTTTTGTTGTGATATATTTGCCTATATTCATAAATTTTTTTGTTTTTTCAAATTCCTGTTCTTTTTCTGCTTTTCGTTTTCTATATTTTGACCCAGATGGTTTTCTTTTGAAAGGATCAACGTGTTCAGACATTTTTTACTAATCAAATCTGCAACAAATTAAATCTGCGTAAGTCCGATCATTTCTATAAATTAATTAAATATAACGCTATTGAGTGAGGACGACCAAAAACGCTTTATATTCAGGAAAGCGTTAACATACACGTGAACTACGAGCGAAAAATCTAGGTAAGGTAATATTGTCATGGCAGCGGAATAATTGTGAAATGTTATATTTAAAAGCTTGTGTTACGTGATAGTGCTTAGATTTGTATGAAAAAAATCACGATCATCCACTCGTTCCCGAAAAAATGACTTCTATGTACAGTCAGATGCAAAAGTCGGTGGACACTTTTCACCTTTAACACAAAGGCTTACGAATGAACAGTGTTCATCCACTTTTACACTTGACCGTACCTCCTCGACATTCATTTATTATCTCCGTGTTGAAATTTCATCAACATTATATAGTCAGTTCCGGAGATATTTTATAATATATAATTTACTTTAAATAGATTACCCCACTCCAAACATAACATAAACAAACAAACAAATGTTACCTCTTTAGTATAATAAGTAAAGATAGAGTAAAATAAAATTGTACTTACCTAATTAGTGAAATAATCCGTCATAAAGCAAATACCTACTTAAACACTATTTGTATTTCAACTTTTTGGATAAAACCTATGTGACTCTGTAGTCGGCGACAAAAAGTAAAAAACATGCACTTCGTAACTTAGCGTGGACCGCCTGATTACTGCGTCTGTTTGTTTTAAAATATGTAATTGCGATAACTGTTTTTAAGTGCGTGCACCGATTGAATGAATAAGAATGAGCTGTGTTCCGCTCCATCAAAAATAATGCCAACTCCTTTGAACTAAAATGTTAAAAAGAGATAGATAATGTGTTTCTCTGTGGTCGGGGATTCCCAGTAAAATGAACTGTATGTATGTAGTGCTCCGACCGAACAGATTGAGCACTGCGTTCCATTTTAGTGTTGCCAACACATCGTTTCTTATTTTTCGCTTACAGAGATGGGAATATGAAGGGGCGCCGCTTAACGGCGCCCTATCCTAACGCCGGTACTGGCCAGAATTGTACGATTACTAAGCCAGTCATTTTTTAAATAGTTATTTAGTACGACAAGGAAGACATTTTCAAGCAGTTCATTTTTAGTTTGAACAGCAGTACAGAAACTATCTGGCAATCTCATATGTTGTGTATCTTTATGAAATTCTATTTCACCGTTGCCAGGAGCCAGTAATTGCTTAGAAAATTCTTGTAATTTTATATCATTTAGAAGTTGTACTCGCATGTTTTTTGTCAGTCTGAGTGTTTCAACATTGCTGCCATTCCGCAACTTTTTTTGATGTTACACATTTGGATTGTTATGAATATCTAATAGTAGCTTGAAAGCAGAATGGGTTGTCGACCCACCATCTAACAAAGTAGCAGCTATACCTGATGATGCAACTGCTGGTGCAATTTTTTGTTGCAACCGTAGTTTAGTTTATGAAGGGTGCATCTAAATAGAAAAAACGGCCTTGTTTGGCATCAACAGCCAACATAATTCGATGGCATATGTTCTTCTGCTCATTAGTTAATAATGGTTCATTGTTAGTAACAACCGTATTTAAGTCACGATTTCTAAATTGTTCTTCTCGCTGCACTTCATGCACTTGTCCATTTTCAAGATGCACTGCAAGATGGTGGAAAGCAGGTTCTCTGTGGTGTATGGGAAAGCCAAGTATGCGACAAATAGCTTCATTGCTGCTAATGTATGTACCCATTTGGAAGCGTGTTATTTCATCATTTTCGTTTATATTTTGTACTCCAAATACGGCCAAATCACTGGCCTTATTAACATTAATATGAGCCTTGTCCGTTTGGAGAGTAGTGGTGAGTATGGTACCACCCATTGATTATCAATTTCTAATTGTTTAGAATTTGACGTTCTCATTTTATATGTATTACCACCATTATCAACGTTTCTGCGGCGATACAATGGATAACCATCAATATCAATAATGGTATCGTTTGTGAATTTATTAGGAAAATTTTTCTTACATCTTCCATATTCCATGCATGATGATGTCATGAATAAAGCTCCACACGGTTTATGAATCATATGACTTGTAACAATATTAAATATATCTTGATCTATTGAAGAATTTGGAATTTCGGCTGAAATAATTTGATCAATTTCCTCTTGACGAATTTTATCTTCAAGCCAAATTAAAATGTGAGCATACTAGTATTGATCAGTTTGTGAGTACTTAAATGACAACAGTTGGTACTAGTACTGATAAGTTTTTGGGTTCTTAAATGAGCACACTAGGTATTGTTAATTTTATCAGTTATTAAATGAGCACAATAGGTATTAGTACTTATCCCTCTGTGAGTACTTGAATGAGCACAATTGGTACTAACTAGTACTGATCAGTTTGTGAGTTCTTAAATTCCTACTCGCTGAACAAAAGTAACAAATTTTTTAACTTATACACGAATGAACAATAACAAGTAGTTAACACGTTTGCTAACAGTACTTTTTTTTTGTGAAATTAATAGAATAATGTTTCGTGAAAAATTTGCATAATTTTTTCGTAAATATTGTGATCTATTGATATTATAATTGCCAATTCAGTGGATGGTTGATATGAATAAGGAGTTTCTTTTATTGTACAGTAATATTATATATACACATATTAATATTATTTCTGATCAAGAATGACAGAATGTAGTTGAGTTCTGAGTATTTCTATTAAATTATAGTGAAGTTATATCGGAGATATATTTGTAGCATATGTAAATAAATATTTTTTACTTTTTTTGCAAACAGAGTGAATTACTCATCATTTGTTATCATATCATAACCTTGTGTTCTGTCATTCTTGATTAAAATTGTAAACAAAGAGGTAAACACTTTTGTTAGTTCGTGAAACAAACTTAATTTAGTAGTTTATAGTGAAAACGTTTACGTGAAAAAATAGAATAATGTTGATGTTATTTGGGTCTTTTTTGAATAAATATTTATTGACACCCCTTCAACGTTGGTCGCCTTGCCGTGGCGAAGGGGCTCAAGTTCCCAAATGGGTGCGCTCTTTACTCTTTCGAGCTAAGAGGGATACCTCATAATTCACACAATATGAGGATATGATTGCATCAACCCTCGGTTTTACGCCTATTACCTACTGTGGGAAGTGTGAAGATACCCGCACCAACACCACCTTATGCCAAGGTGTCCAGGTGCCCCTGCCGATTGCTGAATCGTCAACGGATGGTAATAAAGTAGCTGATCGCGAACGGTCTCCTCCAATGCTCGGGCGAGGTAATAAACGCCTTCTCAACGCATACGGGTCTGCGGACGAGTGACCAACAGGGAGCATACGCAATTCGAACAAATAGCGCAAAATAAATCCACAACAAAATGCAGGATACCTAAACAGATATGAGCAAATTAAGACAAGACAAAAACTACCAGCTCGAAGGGAAGGAAACGACTCTACACTTCCTCTGTGAGTGCCAAACTCTATCACAAATCAGACATCGAAATTGTGGAATCCCTCAGTTACCAAACCTCGAATATCTATTTACAAAAGGCATAACGGAGATGACTAGTTTCATTGAGGGAGCCAAATGGTTTGATCAGCACAATAGAACGTGATATCAAGATACAAGGTCTTATGATAGTGTATACAAATGGCGATTCTGGCGGATCTGGAATATTTTTAAAAATAAGTGTATGTGGTTATAATTATAATTGAAAAAGGAATGAAGTTGAAAATTATATTAAATTCAAAATCATCGCCTTGCGAATGCCAATCTAATTGGAAATTGACTGCATTTACACATAGCCAATAAAGTCTGCGTTCGCCCGACACTATTTTTTAAGTGAAGTAAAAACACAAGTATATAGTAAATAAGTAATTCAGTTCAAATTTTCTACATGTGTTTCTTCTTTATATTTTAAGTTCAAAATGCAAAAATAAAAATGTATATTCCTATTTTCATTTTTGTGATAACGGGATTTTAGTGTAAGGAGAAGTAAACATAGGCACCATTAAGTCTGCGTTCAGCTTTAAAATTAGTTACAAAAGTATTAAAAATGATTATGAAATTCAATATTTTGTTGGATGGCCGCGTTGTTTTAAAACTTCGCTCAATCGATTTGGCATTGATCTTACCAACTTATCTGTTTCCTCAGCTGTAATCTGGAATCATTCTTCTTTCATAACACTACGCAAAGCCTCTGTACTTGTTATTG